CACTCACCGCTGCGCACCTGCTCCTAACAGGGGGTTGGGGACCCTGTTGTAAAGGGCCAGGTGGTAAGGGTTTTAGGCGCTGCGTGCGTATTCTTCTTCGTTTCTGTTGACGTAGGTATTGTTACAAACCTTCAAGATGCCACGACCCCTGTTGGCTCAGGGGCAGCAGAGCGCAGGCAGCTGCGTGGCTGTGGGCCCGGTGGTCGGTCTCACCCTGGACGCTGTATTTCTCTGGCTTACGCACGCCGGCTGCGGGTTGGATCGTCATTTTCCATTTTCTCTTGGGAGACTCCGTAACTGTTACACTCCCATGGAAACAGTGTAACTACGTGAACGGAAGGAGTCCAGCAGGCTTTGTCTCTAGGCGTCTGTCCCCACCCAAGAGGGGGCTTTGGTCCCCGAGAACACCCGAGGACGCGGGCGCCTCCTTGGGCGCGCGTGCACCCGTCGCTGCCTCTCTGGCCGAACCTGGCCCGGCGCGGCCCAGGGAGCCGCGGCATCGGGGACATTTGAGAGCAAGCGGCCTGCATCTGCAGCGGTGCCCCGCCGGGCGCCTGGCCAAGCGCAAGTGTGGGCCAGGACACCTGGCCCTGGACGCCCCCCCGCCACCCGCCGGCAACCAGTGTCCTCCGAACTGACGAGCAGCTGCTGCTCCGGACCGGGCGGGCGGGGGGCCTGTCGCCGCCACTGCGGGAGTGAGCTCCCAGGTCCAGAAGCTGGCTGAGGGCTCCCCTGCTGCGGCCTGTTGCGTCCCCGTGCGGAGCCGGCGCTGACGCGATGACCCGCCAGGGGCCCTGGGGCCGGGCCACCCTGACCCCGTGACAGCCCCCCTGCACGGGCCGCCCCCCCGAGCGAGGGCACCTCCCTCTGCCCCTGGGCTGCAACAGCGGGTGTGTTCACCAGCCAGCCTGGTGCGCTCCGAGGTCACGCACGTACACCCGCCTGGGGCCCCTGTGCCTGACCGGGCTCCACCCTCCCTTCTTCACGCCCCTCCCCCAAATCCAGTCCCCTTGGTATGCAGGTGAGGACATGCTGTGACTTGGTTTCTGTTACCAAGCCACGGCACCTGCCACATCTTCACACACACACTCCCTCCATCCACGCAGGTGGCCCTCGCAGAGCAAGGACCCCTGCCACGTCCAGACGCAGGGCAGGGCCCCCGGCCGGCACACTCGGGCGGCAGCCCGAGCCTAGATCCTGCCTGGGCACCCTCCCGGACCGGGGCCTCAGGAAGCCATCCGCGGTGGATGAAAGGCTCCCCGATAACCATGCCTGGCCTGGGTCAGTCGCCAAAGAATTCCTCAGGTCAAAGCATGTGAGCCCGGAAGCTGTCGTCTCTTGTAAATAATTAGCGGCTGCATGTGGCATATGTGCCCACATAGGCGTGTACGTGCTTGCAGGTGTGCGCGCACACACGCGCACACATGCACAGGCAGTTGGTCCCCATCCTTCTCGGGTCTCACGCCGGGTCCCCGCTGTCACCTCCGCTCCCAGGCTGGCGGCCCTGGTCCTGGCAGGGACACACAGGGCAGGGGGAGGGGGGCGCACAGGGGGCCTCGGGGCACCTGCTTTACACCGCAGGCCCTGGCACACAACCAGCAGCTCGGCGCAGCGGAGCACACCCACATGGGGACAGGGACCCAGGCCCCGGGCCTGCAGGGGGGAAGTGTCTCAAGGGCAGATCCTTGCTTCCTATTCCTACGCAAAACTGAATGGCCTGGTTTTCTTTCCTCCTCCTTTTTTGAAGGGAGAGTTAAAGACTGAGTGGTGGTCACAGGGCGTCTGTGACCAGGTGCACAGGAAACGTGAAGGACATGAACACACAAGGGAGGTGGGAACTCAAGTTACCGGGGCCAACGTCACCCCCGTTCTCACTGGCAGCCATGAGTGGGGGCCCAATGGCCGGGGGGACAGTCTCATCGGGTCCCCCTTCCTGAAAGGGCTGGCCGCTGTGACATGCCCATGAGAGGGGTGAAGGTCACACGTGCAACTCAGTGGGTCTTGGTGAAGCCCAAGACCGCCAGCAGGGAGCGCCGCTGCAAGGCCTGGGCAGCAGCCCATTCTTCCTGCCCCCAAGAAGTAACTGGGGCAGCGTCCACAGCTGTGAGAGCCACTTCTGTGTAAACACCGTATATGTACACGAGACACGCTGTGGTGGGCTGGACTCGATCCCCCAAAAGTCAAGTTCAAGTGCGAACCCCCGATACCAGGAACGACCTTATTTGGAAATAGGGCCTTTGCCGATGAGGTCATGTTGGGGGAGGGTGGGCCCTAAATCCAGCCACTGGTGTCCTCCATTCCGAGAAGAAGGAAGTGTGGATGCGCAGACAAGGCCATGGGGCGACAGCGGCAGAAACTGGAGTGAGGTGCGTGCAAGCCCAGGGCCGCCAGTCATGGCTGCAGCCCGCACGGGCGCGGAGGACACAGGCACGGGGCCGGCGCTCCCTCAGCGCCCGGGGCGACGCAGCCCCGCCGGCACCGTGAGCTCCGACTCCTGGCCTCCGGGCTGGGGGAACAAACGGCTGCTGTTTTACGCCACCACGTCTGTGGTGGTGTCTCATGGCAGCCCTGGGACTCGCTATGCGTACATGCAAGACATACACACACACACACACACACACACACACACACACACACACACACACAAGCCCATACAAAAATTTTACTCTTTGGATTACATTCATGGAATCCCAAGTTTCCTGCTGAGTAACCTACTTCTGCACCGTTAATTCCCTAGTTAAAAAACACATAACATCTAAATCCATCATCATTTAAATTGTATCTTAAAAATGATCTGAATTGTGTGAGTCAGCTGTCTTTGCTACAGGAGACACTGCCAACCAAAACCACACAATGAAAACACGACAAATGCATCCTCCGAGCTCCAGCTGGAATCGCCCTGACAAACACTCCCCTCCGGTGAGGGGCCAGAGGCCGCCTGGCAGTTTCTACAGAGAGAAAACTCCTCTAAAAAACAGGAAGGCCCTCCCCACGGTGACCCTCCAGGCAACCAACAGATCCCCGTCCTGGGTCAGGAGCGCCAATGGGGGTTCACACATTCATTAAACCCAAAGAACCACCAGGGCCGCCAGGAGAAGGGCAGGGAGCCCCGTCGCACCCTGCGGACGGGCGGGTCTGCAGCCGCCCTCGGCAGCGGGCCTGTCATTTGAAGCCCTTGTCCACGTGTGGCCCGAGGCAGGATCGCTCCCGCAGTTATAAGAGGAAGGAGCACAGATGAGAAGGCAGTAATAAGACCAAGAGACAGGCAGGTCTCCCAGGTGACTCAAAGTCCAGGCGCCCGGGCTGCCGTGCTCCACGCACACCCGGGCAGGGACGCAGGACAGTCCCACCCCCGTGAAGATGCTCCTCAGTGAGGCACCCGAGCCATCGGTGCACTCGACGGATCGCCGCGCGGAGACAGGCTCCCGACCACGGGAAAACACGCACTCTGTCCAGACAGCGAGCAGTCGGGGCTTCTCTCGCCAGCTTTCAGAAACAGCCGGCTTCGGCTCCTTCCTGTGCCATTTGGGGACCCGCCCAGGCGCCCGGGGACAGGACGTGGGAGTCAGCTTCCTGGTCCGGTTAAGAGGGACAAAGGCATGGCCACCGGCCTGCCTCCAGAGAGGCACAGGTGGCCGGCCCCTGGGGAACAGGGACTCAAGGGGGCGCAGGGGCTTCTGGGCACCAGGCAGCACGGGGAGGCCCCAGCGAGCGTCCGCTGCGGGGCCCCAGGGGCGCCCTCCAAGCTCCCAGCAGCTCCCGCCCCGTGGCCGGGAGGCAGTCGGGGAGCGGGCAGTGGCCAGGCGGCCCTGGGCCATTCTCCTCCTGGCCCAGGAGGCCCTTCCACATACAGACGCATGCTCTTCTACCCTTGCAACCACGCATTTGGAAAGCTGCATGCGATGCCACCAAATTCAGGGGAGCGAAGCGGGTTACTTGAAAAACCGAAGAACCTGGGCTATTAGAGATGGTAGTTGGGGTACAATTTTCATTTTTCATGAACGAACATTCAACAGAAACACCTTCGAGCTCATCAAAACACAAGGCCAGTTGCAAAGACGTCCCAGTCAGGCTCACAAGAGATTAGACAAAGCAGGCCCGTGCTAAGGGGAGAGGCAGAGTCGAGACAACAGGGGGCGGGAGGGGCTTCCCTGAGTGAGACCTCCGGAGACTCCTGCACCAGCCACGCCACACCCACCAGCCACGCCAGACATGGGGAATGACCATAAGAGAAGCCAGAGCACCCGGACAAAGCCCGGGGCGGGACCAGAATTGGGGGGGTGGGGGGCGCTGTCCCTGAAGAGGTGATTGCTTCTCAGGCCCCCAGCAGCGGGGGTCATCAACCCGCACAACGGGCGCCCGAGGGGCACACAGGAAACCTGACTCTGGGAACTTCGAAGCTGCGCTGGCTTGGACCCAGGGAACAGGGACAGCGGTGCCGCAGGGGCAGACCGAGGAGGAGGGCAGGAAGCCGCCTGCGCCCCCACCCGCCCCGCCTCACTCTAGACCATGCGCCCCTCTAGCACCTGCACACACTTTCCCGGGACGGCACGTGTTTTCTTATCCATTCTCACCTTCGAGCCTTCGTGTTCACCTTCGACCTCCCTAAATCGTCCCCTCAGCCTCTCCCTGATGTGGCCACCGAGAGGCTTTTATCCGTTTGCAAAATTCCACAAACTAATGGCAGAGCCCCAAGCATAGACCAGAGTGCCCGCCGCCGCCCCCCCCCCAACTTTTCTGCGGGCTCCCGTCCCCAGGGCAGGGGTTAAATGCTAGAACAGGTGTTACAGGAGACACGGGAAGCTACTCAGACTACTGCTAAAAACACATCTAAGGGACAAAACAGGGTGGAATGTTTAACTTAAAAAAAAAAAAGGCAAAATGAAACACAACAGGATGAAGCACAGGACGAGAGGGAAGGGGACGCTACAGTACGAAGCTGCGCCTCGCCTCTCTCTCCAAACAAGACAAGCGCTACCATGAGGAAAGGGCATAGTTACCTGCGTCCATATCTGCAAAGAATGGAACAGCCAGTAAGAAAAAGAAGGAACCAGAAATTCAGTGTCTCAGAGTTGGATTTTAAAAGGTTACACGGAGAGAAAATATAACTTAGAAACGCTACCTGTGAACTCTATGGGGGCTGTATGGGTTCCTAACGTTACTATATTTTAGTTAAAGCAAAAAAAAAAGAAAGAAAAAAAAGATGTTATCTGAAGAAGGAAAAGCCTAACGGCAAATGAAATATCTTATTTTCATGCAAAATGATCCTTACAGGTTTATAATATAAAGGGGAAACGTACTCCAACACATGGCAGCCTGAACGGCTCCGGTCCATGACTAAACCACAGGACATGCAAATTACGCATAAACGCAATATCCAGAGCAGAGCACTGGCCGGGCACCGTTCTAGGGAGTAAGGCTGGGTTACCATGTGCAAGGTCAGAACTGTCGGGGAAGAAATCAGCGCAAGAGCATTTCAGGGTCTGCTCTTGCTCCAAACGCCACAGGGACAGTCATCGGTCGGCTGCAACGGCTACTGGAGCAACAAGGCACCTAAGGGTTTCTACTGCTTGGTGTTTTATTACTTTCCTGACAGGTGATACATCAAAGTAATGACTTAGGATAAGCTACAGAAAAATATACAAAACTAAGCTCCCCTAAGCACGCGCCTGCCCGCCGGACAGCCTACCTTCGGGAGATTCCTCCTGGACGTAGGTGCCGGTCAGGTAGCGGTGCACCAGCGCTGACTTGCCGCTGGCCAAATTGCCCACGATCCCCTGAAACAGAGCAACAGATGATCGTTAAGGACAGGGACGTCAGTCTCCTCAGCAACCTGCAAATGGAGAGTTACAACCGGCGGCGGCGGGTCTACACGCAATCACAGCCACGCCTCGACCGGAAGGTCAGAAATGGACTCCGGAAGTCCTCCTGCTGGAGGAGAAGGGACTAAGGCCCCTGGACACCAGGTCCCCTTCCATCAGCCTCGCCAGCTCCCGGACCCGCCGGCCAAGACCCTTTGCCGGAGAACCCGGGCGGTGGGTCGGCCAGGAAAGGGTGCACGAGGCAGGGCGGCGCCGCATATCGCAAGCCCTCCACCCCTGGAGCCGCACCGGCAGCACCAGCACTGGGAGTGTGGGGGAGAGGAGGACACTCCGGTGCATCTCAATCACGATTCCGGGCCGGAGTTCGGAGCCGGGTCGGACCGGGGGACAAGGGCCGCGCCAGTTCATGGCACCATGGGGAGGGCCTGGCAGGGCAAGGCCGGCCCCAGGCAGAGCGCGAGCGCAGGCTGGCGTCCGAGCCGGGGCGCGTGGCGCAGGGAGGAGGAAGGGGCCCCCGGCCTTCCTAGACTCAGAGCGCCCGCTGAGACTCCGGAAGACAGGGGCGCAGGCTGGGAAGCCCTGGCGGGCACGCGCGGGGCTGGCTGTGCTCGGGCCATCGGCAGCAGCGGCTCCCGCGGCCGGCCACCTCCGAGACACCCGGGCGGGGGTGGGGGCTCGCGGCTGCGGCGTCTCCGCGCACCTGGGCCTCCCCCTGCCCCACCGGGGCCCGGTCTCCCTCCTCCGTCTCCTCCGCCTCCTCCGCCTCCTCCGAGTAGCTGCTTATGAAGCACAGCTTCCTAGCTTTTCACCTTTTCCTCCCCCATGACAACTTTCCTATCTGTGCTTAAACATGATCAGATCAAGTCTTTATGAGAAACAACACACAGCAGCAGCCCCGTGGACCTCAGCAACACGGGGTGAGCGGGCGGGCGGGTGAACAGGTGAGTGGGCGGGCGGGCGGGTGGGTGAGTGAGTGAGTGAATGGCTGAGTGAGCGAGTGAATGAGCGAGCGAGCGAGCGAGCGGATGATCCTGACCCCGGCGAGCCTGGGCGAGCCGCTGTCCGACCCCAGCAGGAGGCCAGGCTTTGTGGACAGATCCTAAATAAAGTCGTTTCCCTTCCTGCTTTGACTCACGTCTTCCTTTTACCTTAGGCCCCTATAATCTGAGAATTTCTCCCTATTAATTATCCTTTTGCTCTAGGGCACCTGCTGTTTGTCAGCTTCATGCTGAGGAAATCCAAAACAGTTCACCACAGAATTAAATTTTTAATTAAGATGAGAGTTTCTCTTTCCTGAGGAGGAAAATGCTCAGCCTCCCGTGCCGGGCAGCCCGCACGTTCTGAGCGCGGCAACAGCCTCCTTTGTCGGAGCCCGCGACCGGCCAGGGCCCGGGCTGACCCCTCAGGAGGAGCTGGCCCGTCAGCCCGGGGGTCAGGGGTGGCTCTTACGGCGTTTGAATGGCCCATTTGCACACCACGGGCAGAAACCAACAGCAAACCAGGTGGAGGAAATAAAATGAGCGAAAATGCTCTTCCAGCTGCAAAGCTGCCCTGGGGCCCGCGAACTGCCCCTGGGCACAGACAGGAGCGCGGTGCTGCTCAGCGGGGCGTGCGGGCTCGGTGTGGGGTGGCCAGGCAGCACGGGGAGGCTGTCCTGGCAACGACGGGACAGGGCTACGCCTTTCAGGCGGCCGAGGCCGTGGCTGCCGGCCGGCACCCTCTGGGCAGGGCGTGAGCTCGCCCTGGTCACCTCCCAAGGGGAAGGAGAGCGCGGCCTCTCCCCGGCAGCCTTCGCTGCTGTCCCAACGTCGCCGCTTACCCGCTGCCCCTGCAGCTTGCTCGGAAGGGGGTCAAGGCTTTCAGTAAAAATCCCACTTGGGAATTCGTCACAAACACAGAAGTAGGACGTGGCAAGCAGCTGACTAACACGCCCCCCCCAAGGCTCGATGTCCAGGGTGTCCCCGCTCCTTCTGCCCGGACAGGAGCGCCAAGCGTGTGCCTGGCATAAGAGGGGCTGGCGTCTGGCTCCACAGTGGCACCCAAAGCAGCTGCCGCTGATGACCTAACCCTAACACGCCTTCAGGACTCACAGGGCTTGGCGCCACCATTCTCGAAAAGAAAGCAAACAGTGAGACCTTTTTCTCTGACAGATTCCAGAAGTCGGATCGCAAAATACGACATAAAGAGTCCATTGGAGGCCTGCTATTATGTCCCTCAGCTGCGGCATTTGTCCAACAGAGTCAGGGGCTCCGGAGGCGCTGACCTCAGGGGCCACCTGTCTCAGGGTGCGGGCCAGGGCGGGAGACAACCTCAGCCCTGTGGACGCACGGGGCCGTCCCTGGACAAGGGAGCACTGCCTGCAGACGTGGGCAGCGCCTCGGCGCAGACGTGCTCTGCCCCCGCGCCCGGGCCGCCTGCCTCCCCCCGCGCCCGGGCCGGCGCCCGTCCAGGGCAGAGCCAGCCGCCCCGCCACGGGCCGGGGCAGGACGCACAGAACTGCCCCTCAAGGCCTATTGAATCCCCCGCATTTCCGCGTCCACAGCTGGGGTCAGGCCCGTCCACCCCATAATGTAACCCCCTCCGGTTCCCCTGGCCCTTTAGCCCAATCACACGCTGTCCAGACGCGGCAGAGTCACGCTCAGAAGCCATACACGCTCTCTTCAAAAGCTGGACATTCCTTATTGCGTAATCTCCTCATCTCAGAAGGGAGCCACCTGAGTGCCCTGTCCCCCACCCCATGTGCAACCGGGGAGGGTGTCCAGGGCCCCCGGGGGTCCCTGAGCAGGCAGGCCGGAGCGGCTAACAAACGCGGGCCTGAAAGAATGGAGTGGCCCGCACCGGAGCCAAGCCATTCAGTGTGCGCCAGACAGCGGGCGCTTCTCTGCCTCCAGGGCGCAGTCAGAGCCCGTCGCTGCGGGAGTGGCACACATGCACACGCGTGGAGACACACACGCGGACACATATTCACACATCATATATGCAAATATACACATACACACAAGTACATACACATTCACATACATGCATATATGCACAGGTCCATATACACAAATATATACACATTCTACACACTCATATATACAAATGCATATACATATAAATATACACACGGGCATACAATGCACAGACACAGCCCCAAATGCCACTTATTTCACACACAGAGCTCGGTCCCTTCAGGCTGTGTGTGTGTCCCCTCCTTCCCCCAAAGTGGAGGCAGGGGCTGGTGCTCAAAGGTGTGGCTGCAAGAGACCCAGGTCATTCTTCATAAGCTCATTTTAAGCTTTAAATAATCTCATTGAAAGCGTAGCCAAAGTGTATTCTGTGAATGAAATCCTTCTTTGACTTCTAAGCCACTGCTTGGTAACGCAGTAAAAAGTCCCATTTTTTTTAAGGATGAGTTCCAGAGCCTGGTGAATCATTAGAGAAACTTTCCCTGACATCCGGCAAAGGGTGAAAAAAGCCGTGGGCCGGGGGGGGGGGGGGGTGGGGAGCATCAGAGACACACACACACACACACACACACACACAAGAGCAGTGACAGACACCCCACACGGGCACATGAGGCCGCTCAGGCTGGCCGTCCATCGTGGCCTCGCGGGTGCACTCGGGGCCCCAGCCGCAAGCTGCCAGACACTCAGCCCTTCCAGGGACACCCCCAGAGGTGAGCCCCACCTCTAGACCCCAGGGGTACACGCCTGGGCGTGCTCACAGGTCGCCCCGCCTGTGACGGAGCCCCTCCCGCAGGGGGGGACAGACCGTGGCCAAGGCCGGAGGGGGCACTCACCACTTTGAGCTCCGGGACGGAGCGACTGAGCGTCCATTCCTGGCTGTTCACAAAGGCATCTGTAAAACAGGAGGGGACACAGAGTGAGACCCACGGCCAACTGAAGCGCAGGGTCGCAATGCCCCCCACGTGCCGGTTTCCAAACCAGACGACACTGGACGGCGCACGCCGCTCCCGGCGTCACCGCCGCCCCCGAGGAGCGGCGGCTCCCCTGGGCCCACGCAGCAGGCAGCTCCACGCCTGCGCGCTGTGCCCTCCACCACCGTGCCCACGCTGCCCCGGCCCGGAGGGGCTCCCGGACTAACGTCCTGTCTGCAGGCTCCTGCCGGCCCCAAGGCCCGCCCTGGCCAGGGCGTCCCGGCGGCGCCCGTTGCGAGCTGAAGAGCCGGGAGGCTCCCGGCGCCCCGGAGCCGCCAGCCCGTCCGCTTCTGGCCTTTTAGGTTCTTGCCAGAAGTCACTTGTCTGAAACCCCGTTGACCAAGTTACAGAGGAGGACAGCCGGGTTCTGAAAACCCGCACGTCCACGACGTAACGCCCGACGGCTCAGAGGGCTCAACACTGAAGTCTCGCTGCTCGCAAACACACCGGGCACTGCGGGTCCGGTCGGGGCCCCCCGAGAACGTCTGAAGGCGAGGGGCCCAGCGGCGGCTGCAGCCTCAACGCATGTGGGCTGGCCTCCCCGGCCTCCGGCCACCGTCTCTCACTCTCACCCCCACATGCAGGTCCAGGGCGACCCGCTCAACACAAGTGACCCACACGACTGGAGCTCCCACACCCCCCGTTGGCCCCTTCTAGTCAAGAGACCACGTGCCTGAGACCAGAGCCTGGCAGCCGCTCCGGGACCCCCGAGCCAACAGCAGGCCCCTCTCCTTCCAGGCGGATTCATTTCCCACATATTTTCCACAGAATCAGGACCCTCGTCATCCTATGTTACATCCACGAAGACGTAAAGCGACTCACAAAAGGCCTAAGAGTCAAGAGATGCCACCAGATTCAAAGGGACACACGAGATTCGAACAACACGGGCCTGGAGCGGCAGCCGACGGCAGAGCCGCACGGCCCCCCCCGGGGTCCACGAGGGAGGACAGGAGACGCATCAGGGAAGCAAAGTGGGCGCAATCCATGGGGACATGAATACAAGGTGTGCAGCCACCTGGCCCACAGAGACGGAGGTGCTCGGCAGGGGGACCCACCAGAGGGAGGGGGGCAGGGAGGGAGGGTGGCTGGTGGGGCAGGGGCCACAGGGCGCTGTAGCAGCTGGCGCCAACGCAAGACCCCAGCTGGGAGGGACTGGGGACTGGCCCTCGGCAGCATGGGCTGCACGCCCGGGGAACCGGCCGGCCGGCGGGCAGCGGTGCTCCCGCAGCTCAGAAGGAAAGGTGTTTGTGCAAGCGAAGGTCGAGGGCGGCTTCTGTCCCCGCTGAGGTGAGTGTGTTGGGGGCTAAACACCAGAACGCTCAGGGAGCCCGACGACATCGTTGGAGAGCAGCTCGGGATTCAAGCTGCCTGGTGAGGAGAGGATGAGAGTGATGGTGGCCCAGGTGGACCTCCTGCCAGGGCGCGGGCTCCAGCCCGGGGCGCCGCATGTGGCTGTGGGCTCTCTGCACGGTGCTCACTCCACCCTGCACCCCGGGAACTCCTGCTCTTATGTCTGAGCAGCAGGCACGACGACCAACGCAAGGGAGAGACCTCCCCTCCTCTGCATTTGCCCCGTGTCTGCACCCACCTGTTTTACAGCCTCTGGTATGTGAGGGCCGAGGCCCCCTCCTGCTGGGGACCAGGGCGGGTCTGGTGAGGGCAGGCGCAGACTAGGCCACCTCCCAGGAGCTGGGCTCCCACAGCCCGGCCCGTGGCCGGAGCCGTCAGCCACGGGGGCCTGCGTTCTGAAGCTGCCCCGCCCTCCCGGGCCCCTCCCCTGGTGGCCTCAGCACCCCCACGGCACCCCTGACTCACAGCCAGGTCGCATGCACACGGCTCGTCTCCGGAGGACAGGCAGACTGGAGTTCTGACGGGTTTCAGGGAAGCAGCTTAGCGCTGGCCCCCGACGTCCCCAAGTCCCTCCCTGGTCTTTCAAAAGACACAGCTCCAAAGTAGTCAAGGCCGGTTTGAGGGCAAAGCTCCTCTCTCAACACACAAGCTGCTTTTGCTGAGCCTCCCCTTCCAGGGCCACCTCTGGCCCACGCGGGCCCTCCCTCGATGGCCGTTCCCTACTGACCCTGGCCGATGGGCAGACGACAGACCCAAGGCCATCTGGGACAGCAAACTGCAGGGGGACCCAGGGGGAAGAAAACTAAAAGCAAAGCCGTTTCTGTTTCTCTTTATGTTTATTCCCAGGACATGTTTGATTTCCCATCCCCAAACTTTCTCAAAACCCATCCTGACTACAAATTCCCTTCATTCTCTGCTTACGAACAACACTAATTGAGGGGCTCAGCTCTTGGTCTGTTTTCCAAAATATTCCTGTGCAGAACCACAAGTTTAACCAGGAAACATCGGGCCCTCATTAGACTACACACAAAATATGCATCCCCACTTGAAAGCCAGAAACGTTGCTGTTTGAAAAACCTCCTTGTGCCGAACAGCAGCAGCACGATGAGACCGGGGCGGGTGGGGGCACCTGCGTGAACCCCAACTGCTTCCTCGGCTGCTCACTGCCGCCTGGGACCACAGACAAACCGCGTAATTCCTACGTCCTAGGGGCACTGGAGGAGGAACGGCCTGGCTCCCAGCGGAGCTACGACTCTCTCCTTCTGTGCCGCCAACCGGGAGGAAGCGCACGCAGCACGTGGCCACCACTGGGCCACTTCCTGGTCTCTCCCTCTGCTCCATCCTGTTTGGCTCCAGCGACCACAAACAGAGGTTCCAGACAACCCTCAGGAAATTACACACAAGGGTAAAAAAAGGAACCTGAAATTGCAGGTGAAATTTAGAAAAACCACATTATCTCGGAGATTGAGACATTTGAGACCTTAAACTTCCCAAGGTTCCCCCCGCCCCCCAATTCTTTTTTAGCGACAGAAACATGAAGGAGTATTTGGTTTTGGTTTAAAGCGTTTGTAATTTGTAAAGCCAACACACAGACGAGGACCCCGATGGGGGAGAGAAAGCACTTCGCACGGAACAGGGCCGCTGGCGGGAACTGGGTCCCCGAGCACTCCATGCCCGTGCTGGGGGAGGGGCGCCGTCCTTCGTGAGGCGGACTGGGCGGAGGCGGCTGGAAGGTGCCACGCTGGGAGCTGATGCCGACGAATCCACGAGGACTGCCAGGCGGGGGCTCCACCGACACGCAACGGCCCTGTTCTCCAGGGCGTGACATAATTTGACTTGAAAAGCCCTGAATCTCTACAATAATTGGAATAAAACATACAGCCTCTGGATACTGGATTCGGTTGAGGCTTCCCCGGAAGTCCAGGTTGCTGTTCAGTGGGCAGCCACCAACAAGCCAGTTTCCCACCCCCACACTCCCTGATAGCACCCCCTCCCTGTTCCTAAGACCCTCCAAGTATAGGGTGCCATGAGCCAGGCCACCAAGACCCCCCCCCCCGCCCACTGCCACAGACGCAGCCACGCCACGAAACCCCACACATCACTCCCGAGGCCAGACGCCACCAGCGGTCACCCACATCCTCTCTCCTACTCCCGAAGGGGGCCCACGGCCAACGCCGCCCACCCAGGAGCTCTGGGGATTTGCAGGTTTTGAGCTTCCCAGAGGACGGATGGTCCCTTTTCCCCACGTGCTCCTCAACAGTGTTCCTAAACACTTCATTGCACACCTGGTCCCAGCCCTCTGAATCCTGGCTCAGGGTAAGGCAGGCAGAGGGACGAGGACGAGAGGATGGGAATGGAGAGAGAGAAAACGCTCCTCCGTGGAGCTGCCTACAGCTCGCGGGAGCAGGAGATGCATCCGCCGAGAGCTGCTCCGTGCGGGCGGACAGCGTCACGTCCTCCCCTTCGGGAGGACAGGCGCTTCATGCTCTGACGCTGCCTCGGGATAAGTCACACACAACTAACGCAACATGCCTACAACCTGTGACCGGGCTCCACCTGACTTCTGATCCGCCGCTACAAAGCCAGGGCGATCCACAGGTGGTGCTGCGGGTGTCTTTTTGGGGAGGCTTTGGCAGGAGAACCCTATGTCCCCAGCTCCTGTTAGCCTGACGCAGAACGAAAAGCCGTGTGAGGTCCGCTCTGCCTCCGAGCTCCGACCTGGGGCCTCCTCTCCACCCTGAAGTCCCCAGGAGACGGCCAGTCCCCAGCAGACTGCCGTGGGCGAGCCTCACAAGTGCTTTCTGCGGCTCCCTCGGCCCCGCCCTCCGGCAAAGCGGCCCATCTCCCGTCCCCGCACTCCGCCGGCTTCCACTCCCGGCTCCCACACCCGGACGGATGCGGCGCTGCGAAACGATGGGGGGAGGCGCAGTCCCCGCCAAGCCTTGCCTGCTGACTGAGGTCCTGGGGTGGAGGGGAGTCGCTCACCTTCCCTGGGATGTAAGCGCCACCTTTAAAACAGAGACTGTGAACTTGGGTTTTGAATTTTGTTAACCTTTACAGGGCAGAAAGCAACCTGGATGTGGCTGTTCCCTTTTTGAAGGGTGTTTCATGGCTCTGAAGATACAGTTTTGGTCAAGAAACGCTTCAGGGCTTTGAGAAAAAGGGAAACACACAATCAAGCGTTTGGGGATCCCTGTAACGAGTGGGAATTTAAAGGGGTCACAAAACTTTTGGAATAAAAAAGGACACTTGACTTTAAATATACAGTAGAGCTGCGAGTTCCTATTACAAAAAATCCACCCCAAGGTCCCTGCTGGGCCACCCAAAGCCTAGTTGTAATTACACTCCAGCTTTCTACATCCCCCAAGACGCTCTCCCCCCAAAGCACAGGCACTGCTGGAGTCTGCAGGAGGCCGTCCCGGGCCCCGGCCCCAGGCAGCCAGACTCACCTGGGCCTTGTGCCCACACACTGGGGGTGACACTGACCCCCCCAAAAGGAGTAAGGAAAGACCTGGGACACGGCGGGCGCGGGTCCCAGCCTGGAGCCTTGACAAGCCTCGCCGTTCCTTCC